GAAAGAGAGAGAGAGGAAGAGAAAGAGAAAGAGTGATAGTGATAGTGAAAGTGAGAGAGTGAGAGTGAGAGTGAGAGTGGGAGTGAGAAGGGGAGAAGGGGAGAAGGGGAGAAGGAGAGAAGGAGAGAAGGGAGAGAGAGGAGAGAGATGAAAAAAAAAAAAAAAAAAAAAACTTTTACAAGGTATAACATGTGATGCTTAATTTGTAATATATAACCTGGAGCCGATGGGTGGCATCTATGTACATGCCATGGCTGTTGTTGACTGAAAAACGGATGGCACCATATCATGCCCATTCCCGCGCCACTGGCTCGTCAGACAGAATTTGTTTTTCTCCGATAGTAGCGGCTCCATTTATATGGTAAAGATTTTAGGCAATGGCACCTATAATGAAGGTATACCTTCAAAAATATAATATTTTTATAAATCATAGCAAAATAAAAGCTTTTAGGTGCCAAATGTTGCTCACAAACTACCTATCAAGTCAGGCGCAAATAGGGGAAACTGCTGGTGTGTGCCAACAATCCCGTTCTTACGTCCACTTGCCAAACATTTACATATATATATTATATATATATACATAATATTCATGGGTTAACCCATCAGGGACGGGTAAAAATTTTGGCAAGTTTACATATGCACCAGCTTATTGGCGCGCACCGGCAGTTTCCCCTGTTTGCGCCCGGCTCGATCGGTAGTTTGCGAGCGACATATAGCACCTAAAAGCTTTTATTTTACTAAAATTTATAAAAATATTAAAATTTTGAAGGTTTACCTTCACTTTAGGTGTCATTGCCTAAAATCTTTACCATATAAATGAAGCCGCTACTACTGGAGAAAAACAACCTCCATCCAACGAGCCAGTAGCGCAGGAATGGGCATGACATGTTGCCCCCGGCGTTTGGTCCACAACATGGCATGTACGTACGTGACACCTGGCGCCAATGGGTTAATAATGTTGTACTTGACTTTTGCTTATCCCCATCTTACTGCATATATATTCATGCTTTCCAAGGGTGAATAATAATGATATTGATACTAAGTATAATCATAATCCCAAATATAATCATACTCATTATAATAATAATGATAATAAAAAAATAACAATAATAGTAAGGAGTAATAATGACAATAATGATGACAATGACAATGTTGATGATGATGTTGATGACAAAAACAATGGCAATTTCAACAACATTGATAAAGATAGTGATAATGACAATGATAATGATGTTGATGACAATAATGATAATGACAATGATAATGATGTTGATGACAATAGTGATGATACTGATGATAATGATACTAATACTGATGATGATAACACAAATATTGATGATGATGATAAAAATATTAATGATAATGTTAATAACAATAATGAAAATAGTAATAATGATAATATTGAGAACGGTAATAATGAAAATAACAATATTATTAAAAGTTATGATGATAGCAATAATAATGATAATGTTAGTAATAATAAAGTAATGATAATAGCAATAATAATGAAAAGCTATTATAACGATGGCAATAATGAAAATAATAACAACATTAATATAAATAACAATAATGATAATAATGGTATTAATAATGAAAACAATGATAACAGTGACAATAACAATAATAACAATGATATTAATTAATGTTGATGATGATATTGAGGATAATGACAACAATATTAATGACAATAAAAATGATATAACAATAAGAATAGTAATAACAAAATGATAATAATAATAATGATATGAGTAATAATCAAAGTAATGATTATAGCAATGATAACGATGATAATTATAATGATAATGGGTTATAATGATGACAATGACGATAATCAAAATAATATTAACGATAATGATAAAAAAAACATAATGACAATAATAATAATAATAATAATAATAATAATATTAACAACAACAATAATAACAATAATATTAATGATAATAACAGCAATGATTATGACAATAACAATGAAAAGGATAAAAGTCATGGATGATGATGCTGATGATCATAAAATGATAAAAAATGACAATAATGACAATATTAACAATAACAACAGCACATAATAACAACAAATAATAATAATATCTAATATCAATAGTAAAAATGATAATAATAAAAAATCATAATAAAAAAATCATAATAACAATAAGAATAACAATAATTATAATAATAAAAATAGAAAAATAATAATAACAATAATTACAATAACAGTAAAATTAATAGCAATAATAATAACAATAACAGCAACAATAATAATATGAATAAAAAATAATTACAATAACACAAACATTAATAACAACAATAATAATTATAATAATGACAATAATAATAATGATAATAACAATAACTACAAATAAAAACAACAATAATAATAATGATAATAATAATGACAATGGCAATAATAATAACAACAATTACATTTGGCAATATCATACACAATAATAACGATAAATAATAAACATGACTGATATTTCCAAGATTCAGTTTCAAAACAAGATATTCTCCTTTTAATTACACAGCCTCGGTTCTATCCACAATGAATATTGCGGTAAAACTCACATACACAATACCTGCACTCTAAGAAATGTCAACTAACGCTCACCTCATATTTTATAAAATAACAAAGCTCGTAGAACTATCTATATATCATGATACAATGTACCAGAACCAGTTTTGTTATTGAGGTTTGTGGGCCTTTGCTGAAGTAGCAATGGCAAACAAGGCAATGCAATTATATGAATTACGGCAGGTGTACCATTGACCTTTATCCATAATCTGTCACAATGCTGCTGCATTTCTTTAACGAAAGAAAAAAAAAATCCACAAAAAATTATCTTAACGGGTTACTCTAAGCTAGGGGAAGATGATTATGATACTCTTGTAGAGGACAAATAGTTGTAGTCATTAGTGTAAAAATCTGCAGACATAATCGGTAATGCAAAAACTAAAGGAAAAAGACCACTGAAAGTGTCACTCACAGCTTAATTCCACTTAGTGCTTCCAAGTTTCAGCTCTATTTTGATTTGTATACCGAGGTGAAGACAAAGCTTGCTGAGGGGCATTAGAGGTCTATGCCCCCCCGATCTACCTTCCCCTAGTCCAGTGCCTGAATGGCTTGCCCTGTCATTCTCAGTCATGGCAACTTAATTTGCAGAATAAATTTTCTAGGATGGAGTTGGGGACTTTGTCTCTGAATTACCCTCTTATGTTTAAATAATACCGTGTAGTAAATGTTACTAACCAATCCCTAAGGTCTTTCAAAGCATAACTCTTATATATCCTGGCAAGAAAGGGCTTGACCTGGTTCTCTTTATGACAACAAATAGCCGAGGAAGCCAAAATCTATAAAGGTGGAGGTCATCTGGCCTTCAATCAGCACATAAGGAAACTGAATGACACTCACAAACATTTAATCTGTGCACAGGAGTATATACCCAAAATCTTAGATGGAAATGACTGGCACTGCAATGGCTAACAAATAAACCGAAACCTCTCGACATCACTTTTGATTTATTATCAAAGAAGAAACTTGTTCAAGCTCAAGGCCTTAGCACAAAATATGGAAGCCACAGCATTCACATGAAGTGGTCCTTTTCTTCACAACTTCCAGCACCATATACCAGCCATATAACTGACATTAAAAAGAGCAAGTTTCTATAATCAATATGTAAAAACTTTCTATTTCAATTTTTGTAATATATCTACAGGAATCTAATTCAGCACATCTAAACAATATCACAATTCCTCAACATTCAAATTTATATATTTGAATATCTACACTTACTGATCATACAGCTGTCAAAAGGCAAGTGTAGACAACATCTTGGTAAAATTAATCTTCAACTTCTATTTTTCACTTACCTTTTTAATCCCTATTTCTCCAGATTACTGTTTTCCAAGCATCACTTTCTGAATTTCAATTACACAATAAATATAATGAATAAGATGTGAAGAGATCAAGATCTATACTATTATAATATTCAACTGCTTTACTTCAATTTTTATGACATATCACCACATCTAATGCAGCTGTTAAATCCATGTGAAAATTTTCCATACAGTGAGAGATGGTAACACAGACAATGAAGTATGAACAGTTCTGAGTGATATTAGACAATAAATTAATGACAATGCATTCACCTGCCTAAATTGGGTGTCTAGATTTAAGATGCCTTTTCTTTATATTTATAGCTACTATATCTTTAACATATACTTAGGCCGAAATGTTGATACTAGATTTGTTTCCAGTTAACTTATTGCCTGTCTCATGTCAAATGCCATTAATTTCAGATTTTCACTAGTCACATGTCACATGCTGACTAAAAGTCAAGCAAAGCTTTCACAAACAACGGTGATAAGTACATGTGAATATTTTGAACATTGATAAGAACAGCCGTCAGGTAAACACCTGAACACAGGTTTATCTTCCACTATTTTTTTTGTTTTCTCTCCCCCGAAAACGTAAGATTTTCATCCCCTTTTCCTCTCTGCCATCATCCCTTTAAAAATTCTACCTTCAGGTGTGATAGCCGCAAACACAGCCGAAAAAAAGGGAAAAAAACAAAAAAGGGGATGTGAAGCAGATGTCCAGCCGTCAAGTCCCTCTCTCTCCCTCCTTGCTAAAACTCGCCCACTTCTCTCATCCCTTGTTTCTCCCTATGCTGTCCTCTGGCCCTTTCCTTGTGCCCCATTTTTATACCTGGCCGTGAGTCCCGCGGGCCTTCACACACACACTCTCTCTGTGGGCTCTCCTCCTCCTTGACAGCTGGTGGAAGGGCCTTTTGGCGCAGGCTCGGAGGGCTCGAAGGGGACCTCGAGGGGGACCTCCAAGGGGACCTGCTCCGCCTCCATCCCCTCTTCCTCTTTCAGCTTATGCTCCTTCCTCACGCACTGACAGCCTCACTCACCTATTTCCGCACCTAAAGGGGGAATTGGACCATGCTTCTAACACAAAAGGTCACAGTTGGGGTCAAACCTGGTGAAGATATTGGGTCGAAAAG